TGTGGTCATAATCCCATACGATAAAATGTATGCTATTAAAATAGCCGCATCCATGGTGAGTGGTCTTGTTATTCTATTGTACTTAATTTATGCAAGTCAAGATGTGATAAATGCCTGTGATCAATTGAGAGCCGACTGGTAATTAGATAATAAAATTATTACGACATACTATAACATATAAATTGTACGGAAATTACTCTTTTAGTTATGACGCTAAATGGTACATGTTTCCTTCGAAGGAAAGACGTCTGTTACTTTTAATGATACTCCGATCTGAAAATTCATGCACTCTGACAGCTGGCCCTACGATTCTAATGAACTTCGAAACTTGTGGAAATGTGAGTTACTCGAAATAAATCGAATGATCTCATAATTTTAGAGCCAACATTTCATATCGTTGGATTTTTCTGCAGATTATGAAAATGGTACTATCATACTTGACGGCCTTCCGTCGTAGTTTAGAAAATAATAATTTTTCAATGGATTCGGAAAAATCGTTCATGATGTTACAGTCTCACAATGAGAATTGAAAGTGCCCATTTGAAAATGCTAAATATAATTACCTTCTTTCTAGCGCACTTTCTTGATAAAATATGTTTTATTTTGTTCATTTATTTATAATAAAACATTGGTCAGATGTAGAGTACAGTCTTGAAAATATTAGTGGAGCTTAACTGATATTTTCAATAAATAGATCTTTGAAGGTTTTTTATTTTCATTTCTTATCTTTAGAACATTATGTGTTATGATTTTGCTACGAAAGGATATGTAAAAGTATGACAATAATTCCAGCTGCATAATTACAAAATTCTTTCACAGTTTTAGGCCTTCAAATAAAATCATTGAAAATTTAAAAGATTTATATACAGTGATAGCATGCGTTAACCGATATGACATTTTTTGGCTTTTTATCGCATTGAAAAACATGACTTCGAATTTTTCAGATTTTTTCGAGTTCTCTGAAGCACCTTTCAAAGCGAACAATCGTTTTTTGTGACGAAAATAATTTTTTAGGGCGATAGCGAGCTTTAAAAAATATTGAAAAAAATTTTTTTTATTAAAAAAAGTACCTTAAGATTTTTCTGATTTTTTTCTGACGAAATCGAGCTTTGAAAGAAAAAGTGTTGAAATTTTTTTCGTATTTTTCGACCAATTCTGAAACTCATTTTCCCTGCATTTTTTTTATTTAAAGCCTTCCTATTTAGGTGTGACATCAGAAAGATGAAAAACGAGTTATTTAATCATTTGTAAATTTTTCATCAAATGTCTTCAATTGTGTGCTCTATAGTCTTTCTTGTAATTCGCTACAGAAAAATGCAAAACAAGGGAAACGTGGCTATACATTTTAATAACTTGACTGTATATATGTAAACATGTAATAAAAACTAAACAACCTGACTACAATAAGAAAAATTGAGCTATAGATATAAATCTTTTTAATTATTTGTTGTCCATCATTGTCATTCAGATGAGTAAATCAATAAACACTGATACTATATATACTTTATATACACACTAAACTACTAAACAACTAAACTATATATTACACATGAGTTTTATAAAATGTATATAACCATATTTATTCTGATTGAAAAATCGTTATTGTAGTAGAATAGTTTTCATGGAAGTAAAGTTATTGGAGCTTGTCTAAAATTCTCAAAAGTTGAGTTTTAATAAAAATTTTCGAAAGATTAATTTGAAAAAATAAGGATTCAATAACTATAATGGATAACTAAATTTATTTCGATAGCCAAATGATGAAGAAGTATATTGAAATTTTAGTTTCAAAAAAAAATTATTCTCCATCGGCCTTTGTTCATTATTGTCGCAAGTTTTTGCGATGGATTTTTATAGCCCCCGATGTGAATCGTTATGGCCAGATTTTGGGAAGAATAGGGATTTTAAGTTTTTCATGTTTATCATTATTAGATATGGTAAATATGAGGGTCGGATATACATAATTTTAATAATTATTTATTGTATACTACAGCTTTATTGCAGGTACTCGTCGTTTCATTTGGAATTATCAACAAAAGTATAAAAAGTAATGATATTTTTGAGGCATTTTATACTGGTTTCTTTTTGATGGGCTTTATTTTGATTTACTCATCTGCCACATGTGATGTAAGCAGGGTACGTATATGAATCTTTTGCACGTATTAGAAAAATTACTTTATGAAATAAATTTAACATAGAAATTGACTTAGCTTGATGACAGTTTAACCACAATCGAAATGTTGTGGAAAAAATGCGAAACCCACACAGAGAAAAAGATTATCTTGGAACATGCTAAAGTTGGTTTCATTATATCATTGATTTATTTTGGTTGGTACTTTTAAATAATTGACTTTATTAAAATAATTAACTTGATTTCTATTAGACCAATGTCATTTTAAAAAAATTTTGGAAACCTTAAAAATGTCAGGTATTTCTTTCGGAATTTCCTTTGAAAATTTTCTAAAAATTGTTGAACAAAATATCGTCCTATTTTTTAACACATTAGAAGTATATAAACTTTGCCTTATTATATTGAAAAACTTAACAAATCATAATGATAACTTCTTGTAGTACTCATATTGGTCATCTTTTTTGGATATGCAGTTGTACCAGTTTTAATAATTTTAATGAGTAATTGGTTATCAGTCAATAACTATGTTGGAAGAAGCTACCCTATCTTTTTTCCTACCTTCCTGCAGCAAAATGTTTGGATTGGTTTTTGTTTTCTCACAGCATATATGTTTATAATTGTTATTACAATCAGTATATTGAATTACCTACAAATGTCAGTGGCAAAATATATTGTTGGAATGTTGGCATATTTAGGGTAATTAAACAATATTAACAATATTAACCAAGTACTGAAGAATATTTTTAACATTGATTTTCTTTTAAATAGTGATGATATGATACATATGCACGAAGTATTAGAATCTACTCACTCAAATTTGACAAATAAACAAAAAATGAAGATAATCAATATGAAGATATGCAACAATATTCGTAAACACCAAGAGTGTATCAAGTTGAGTAATTTTTATTTTATCGCATTTAAAATGTATCAAGAAGCAAAATGGATTAAATACGTAACGATGAGTAAAAGAATAATAAATGCACGATTCACTCAAATTCATTTGCACTATTTCAGACTATTTGAAAGTTTACAACTATTTACAAAAGAAAAGTATCTTATTGTGACCGTGTTAGTAACTTTGCAAATTAGTTTATCTGGAGTATGGGTACGTATTTAAAACAATTATAATTAAATTAGAAATTCTTTGTACGTTACATTCCCTTTAGCTCGAAAAAATTTTTGTTTAAAAAAGCAAAGTTTTTTTTTTAGTTTGTGGTCATAAGCCCATACGATAAAATGTATGCTATTAAAATAGCCGCAACCATTGTGAGTAGTCTTGTTATTCTATTGTACTTAATTTATGCAAGTCAAGAATTGATAAATGCCTGTGATCAATTGAAAGCCGACTGGTAATTAGATAATAAAATTAACTACGACATACTATAACTTATAAATTGTATGGAAATTACTCTTTTAGTTATGACGCTAAATGGTACATGTTTCCTTCAAAGGAAAGACGTCTGTTACTTTTAATGATACTCCGATCTGAAAATTCATGCACTCTGACAGCTGGCCCTACGATTCTAATGAACTTCGAAACTTGTGGAAATGTGAGTTACTTGAAATAAATCGAATGATATCATAATTTTAGAGCCGGCATTTCATGCCGTTGAATTTTTCTGCAGATTATGAAAATGGTACTATCATACTTGACGGCCTTCCGTCGTATTTTGGAAAATAATAATTTCTCAATGGATGCGGAAAAATCGTACATGCTGATACAGTCTCACAATCAAAATTGAAAATACATTACTAAAGTTTTTCTAGCGCACGTCTTGTGAATATAATACTTTTGAATTTAATAATTCATTGGATAATATATTTTTCAACTTGTTATTTTTTGTTTAAACAAAAATATCGATCATATTAATGTGATTCACCGTTAATTCACGGAAAAAAGTCAATAAATAGACCCATGACTATTTCAGATTTTCATTTGCCTCACAGACTCATTTTACTCTATGAAGTTTTGATTATATATTTTTTTTTGGCTAGTCCAGGTCTCAAGAAATACCAAAATTTTGCTACCAGTCTCGACTTCGGTAAGGTATGTTAATTCATTTATCGCATAATATGCAAACTCAATTGCTTTTATATACTAACGTCTACATCGACGTTTCAAAAATTTTTCGTACCCTAGTCGTCTTTGGAGTCGAACCTAAATTTCTTTCAATAATCGAGATCCGGTGTCTCGTTCGGAAGTGGTACGTGGAAAATATTCTCAAATGTCATTTTCCTCGGAACCTGTGTGCATGAATCACGGGCTCGACTGGTGTAAGAATGCAAGTGGTGCAGCTCGACGAATAGACATACAATCATACTCTAAATCGAATATTTTCTTTCTTTTTCATTCGGATGACCTGAATCACGCTTTCCAAAAATATGAGTATAAAAACTCGTTAAAAATTAAGAATACAGAGGCGTGTCCCCAATTATGCCTCTCGTGATCGATCCATAATATGCAATCGAGCAACGCGCACCGTCATCGTCGCAGGGGCATTAGATCTACTCGATGACTCCTTATTACGCTTTCACTGACGCACACATGCTGTAAACTACTTACGCGTCTCTTGTACAAATAATACACATATTCGTCGAAATGCTCGCGCGTCTATTAAAGACCGCGTGTGTGCGTGTGTGCTCGTTGTAACTAAGCCGCTGCTTTAATGTATGATGATATTCGGCACTCGCGCCGGTGTCTGCGCGTCTGTGTATCGAAGCAGCAGCAGCAGCAGCGGCATTGGCAGCGGCTCATCGACGCCTTTAATGTAAATGAACGCGGAGAGCTCCGATTCAGCCGCCGTCGCCGTGTGGCTTTAGCCGCGCGCTGTGTGCTACGTTTCTCGCGACGATGATGATGATGACGTTCGATATTTTCGGGGGTCTTCTCAGTCCGTTACAGGCGGTGTAACGAGTGAGAACTCGCCGTAGGTAGAGATAGTCGCGCACCGAGTCGCTACCGACTCTTTTTTCCTCCTCTCCTCTCTCTCTCTCTCTCTCTCTCTATCTCCGTGTCTATCTTTTTCTATCTCACGCGCTATTTTATCTATACGCTACTCTCGTTTTCTCTTGTGCACGTGGCTCGATTTCGCTTCTTTTCTTCGTCTTCTCTTTTCCGCGTCTCCATCGCTCGGTGGCGATGCGAGTACAATCGTTACGCGCTGAAAGTGTCGTAGCGGAGCAAAGAGGACCAGCGAGCTGCAATAATAAACAACAATGGAGGATCTGTACTTTCCTTTCGACGGTATGTTTACAGCTCTGCGTAAAAAGTGTATTTATTTTAAGATTTCGTTGAACCTCCACCACTACCATCAACAGTAGTGGATACGTACGTCGTCGTTGTTCGTGTCTGCGCGAATCGTATCTCATCGGCGCCTTTCGCGCAGATAAGCATCGAGCATCGACGGCGCCAAAACATCGACGCGTTCGAAAGACGTCGATTATTCATTTTCGCGATCCTTTTTTTTGGCGCAGAAGAAAACAACGATTGGAGGAGCAGGAGAAGCAGCTTGGGCAGGAGGAGCACCTACGGGCAAAGGGACTCGTTCGCCTCGAGCGAGGACCTGTACCGGATCACGAGTGCCATGAGCATCGCCAGACAGTTGGCCACCAACACCAGACTGGTCGTAGAGGAGTCCAGATGGCCGACGTATCCCGCAGCGAGCGATCACTCCGACCGCTACGTGTACGCCAGCGACTGCAAGCTGCTCTTCGACTGGGAGAGGACGCAGCCCGTCGGCCAGACGGTCAGCTTCCGGGTCAAGTTCTACCAGCGAAACGGACTTCCGCATCCGATCTGCGACATGGACAACTTCAACGTGCGCGTGAGCAGGGGCTACACGACGGTGCCCACGACGATCGAGCTGGGCAGCACCGATCCGGCCCTGGTCAATCAGGCGCTGGTCATGTTCCGGAGCCGCGAGGCCGGCACCTACAGCATCGAGGCGAAGATCGGTGCGAATCACGTGCGCGGCAGTCCGTGCTGCAAGACGTTCCGGGCCCTCGCGGCCGACCCGAAGACGACCAGGTTTCTGCGCACCGGCTCGATCCTCGTGCTGATGAAGGGCGCCAACCAGGTGCTGGAAATAGACGCGCGCGACGAGTTCGACAACGTGTGCGACTACGTCGGCGCGGATAAGGCGAAATTGAAGGACTTCGAAGTGCATGTAAAACAAGTGCGTATTGAGTACCGTTAGCGACTGATATAAAGGGGCTTGAGTGTTTTTATTTTATTTTTTTTAAATTTTATTTTCGAAAGCAGGCAAAACAGTATTTTTCAATACTTAGACCTGTTGAATGCTCGAAAACTATTTAATATATCGTTAAAATAGTATAAAATATCTACGCTAAGAATTCGACACATTAAGCTATCCTATCACCGAATTTAATTTCATCACTATAGTGATTACGGAAAAGTGATTGGCTCTTGAAAGATAAGGCAACGAGAACTACCAAACGGTCGTGCTGCTTACTTATACGAAAAGCGAAGCATCTACTAAATTTTATAGCCATCGCAGCTTTTTTCTGGCTAAATTTCCTAAATTACAATGCTTTAACAAATGTCGCACAATCGTGCACTCGAAAACGTTAAACAGTCTTCGGAATTGACGAAGCTGCACGCTCTTTCGTGATGCAATATTTTTCTGCTTAATGTTTTAAGAATCAATCACTTTTCCGGGTAGACTCAATTTAGTCTATGTGGTCTCATATTATTCGATGGACTAATGGACATCAAAGTCAAAGCAGACGTCAACTTTAATTTTAAGGAAATATAAAAACATTTAGGCTACTTATAAGCCCTTATTTTGGTTATTATCTATAATATTTAATTTCATTAAAAATTAAATTAATATAATTAAATAGTTAAATTTAAGAGGAGGCTAGGTCTGTTCGATGGTTTTCGAGCTTCATTTTAATAATTTTTTTGGACATATAGTAAAATGGATTTATCTATAAATTATATACATTATCAATAATTATTTGAAGATCATCCAGTTAAATTTTCAGCATAATATACTGAGAAATTTTCTAGGTACAGCAAACTTTCTAACACAACTGAGAAAAAAGATCGATTGCGGTTGACACTGTAGAGCTGAAAATCTACTTGACTGATTCTTTCCAATTTTTCCCACAATTTAAGTACATAAAGTATGGAGTAATGATGTTGAAATATTTAGTATAAAATGATTTTTAAGTTTTTGGCATCATTTTGAAGTAAAAAAATGACTTTTTTGAAGAATGAAGGTAAAAAGTCATCTTATATGTTAGAATATAGCAGTTAAAAAACCATAAAGTTCAATTATCTCGATGTCATTACCTCATTTATTATCTACTCAAATAGAGTATAAAATATGAAGTGGATTGGTCAAGCAGATACTGAGTGACAGTCTCCATCGGATTTTTTTACATTGCATGTGAAAATTTGCTGTAGCTAGCTTATTTTAAGCTGAACATTTAACCGAATATTCTTCAAATAACAATTAATTATGTGTGGAATTTATAGATCAATTCGATTTACTATATGTTCCAAAAAAGAAAAAAAAACTTTTTTTTATTGAAATTTAGTCAAGACCTTACGCCGCCTCCTCCCCTTTAATAATTAAATTAAATAATTAAATTAATTATTTTAATTTTATTTTTATTAAAATTTCTAAAATTTTTCTCTTTACCCACAGATTGAAAATTTCAGTAAACTCAAAAACGACGAGAAGAAACACGAAGAACAGCCGCAGACGTCGGAACAGAAGCCGGAGCAGAGGAGACTACGCAAGTCGTCCATGAGGAAGGACGTCCCCGGCAAGCCCGAGCTCGCGTTCGACCGAACGACGCGTCGAGTCGGCCTCGACGTGAGATTCGACGAGGCCGGCCTGTATCGGCTCAGCATCGACCTGAACGGCCAGCAGATCACCAACGGCGAGTGCGATATCCTCGTGCTGCAGGAGTCCGAGTTCAACGAGGTTCGCCGGAACATGAGTCCAAAGGATTCCGAGCGGCCCCTGCGCTACGAGGCCAAGCTCCTCGGCTGGGACGGTAAGCGCTACGCGAGAGCCAAGAGTGTGACGTGCTACATCACGTCGAAGCACCTCACGATCAAGAAGCCGCTGCTCAGATACTTCCAGACGACGGTGGCCACCTTCAGGCTCGGACCCTTGACCAAGGTAATGAGATGTAACGAAAATCGATTTATCACTTGGAAGCTCCAGCTCGATCTCGAATTATTCAGCTTGATTTGTCACCTGAAAATCTAGTTACATTTAAAATTGTATGCATTTCAATATAAAGATGCACTAACATACGACTGAATCATTCAAATCAATTTTCAACTATCCTGATAGATTTATCGACTTGAAAATCTTTCACGATTTTGGGGTAAAAAAAAAAACAGATATTTTGTTAATATCTCAAATATTTTTATGCCAAAATAGTCGTAGAAAGTCACTAATTTTTACAAACAGGACTGGAAATCGATACAAATTTTTCGATCTAGAAATCCAATCCAGTATGGAAATCTACTTTTAAATGCACTCCTTTCACTGATAAAAATGACGATGGCTTGTTTTTGATTTAACTTTTCTATTACAGTCATGTAACAATTATTGAGCGCATTTTAAAAGACATGGTAAACGACAATTTAACTGTTTCAAAAATGTCTGAAAATGTCAGTTACAGTACTCCTTCAAGAATTCCCCACTAGATGGCGTGTATCTTCATTTCACTAAATCTGCAAGCGGCAAAGTTAAAATAATTAAAATAATCAAACTCGAGCTGATTTTTGGCATTAGCTTTTTATTTCCATCAAATTTCCACATGGAATCCGCTTTTAAAATGATATTTTCAGGAAAAAATCGAGCTGAATTTCCAGGCATAAAATTCGTTCGAATCGTATACTCGAATCCACCTGGAGCTTGAGGCAAATAAAATTTTTCCCCTTTTTCCCCGCAGATACACTTCCGCAGTCTCGTCAACAGCGGCTCGTCCCGCTTCAGGGATCACCAGATCTTCACGATAGACGACGGCGGCCAGCCCCTCATGGAGCTGAGCTCGCCCCAGCGCTACGTCATCGCCGCCACCGCCATCAGCTACCAGCAGGCCTTCATCGGCGGCCACGAGTCCTTCGCCAAGAAGACCGACTACTTCTACGGCCGGGTGCGCAAGTACCACGAGCGTCACGGCCGCGAGAAGGTCGAGCTGACGGTGGAGCGCGACAGGCTGCTGCAGACGTCGTTCAAGGCCACCAAGTCCTACCTGATGAATCAGTGGTGCGGCCGCTTCGAGATCGTGTTCCAGGGCGAGCCGGGCATCGACCGGGGCGGCATCGGGCGCGAGTGGTGCGAGCTCATCTGCGCCGAGCTCTTCGATCCGGACAATCGGCCGGGTCTGTTCGCGGCGCTGAGCGAGCGGGCCGGCCTCGTGCATCCCACTACGCACGGCGGAGCCCCCTCCGGCGCCAAGATGCCGCTCTACGAGTTCGCCGGCCAGATCGTGGGCAAGTGTCTGTACGAGTCGGCCCAGGTGGGCACCCAACGGATGCTCGTCCGGGCGCGCTTCACGCACTCGTTTCTGGCCCAGCTGCTGGGGCTGCGCGTCGACTATCGACACTTCGAGCACGACGACCCGGAGTTCTATCGCAGCAAGATCCAGTACATACTGAACAACGACCTGGACGAGCTCGAGGACGAGCTGTTCTTCGCCGAGGAGGTGTACGGGCCGGATGGAAAGTTGGACAAGCTGGTGGAGCTGATTCCCGGCGGTAGGAGCGTGCGCGTGACCAACGAGACGAAGATCCAGTACGTGCAAGCCCTGGCGGAGCACAGGCTGGCCAACAAATCGATCAGGGCCAAGGTGAAGGCGTTTTTGAAGGGCTTGACGATGCTGATACCGCACGATCTGCTCAGGATCTTCAGCGAGAAAGAACTCGAGGTGATTATCATTACTTATTTAATACATAATAATCGAGTGAAAAACTTGAGATTTTTTTTTATTTGACATACGCGTCTATTTTTTTGATCGTCATTTCCAAATATCAATCTACTTGTACTTCTTACATACACCTTTCACCAGTACAGTCTAAAAGAAGCACATTATTGGGAAGTCATATGAAAATTTTTTTGCCTGCATCTAAGAAATGATTAAAAAAAATATAATTACGGCAGTGTCAGGCTATACCTTGCTCTTTGACGCGTATGAAGCAGCGAAATGTCGACATGTGTCCATTTTATATTCTTGATTTGAATGAATTTTAACGTTTTTTACGATCTGTGTGATAAATTATACAATAACGTGAGTAAAGTATCGACACATCTGTCACTGCCGTAATTATATTTTTTCTAATCATTATCAGAAAGTACAGATGTAGTCCTTATCAGCTCCACTTCTTGAAAAATATGAGTACTACATACTATCTTATCCCACGTCTATATTTTTCTATAGATAAAACTAAAAATTATTAAAATCAATTTTTAATACGTAAAAATGTGTCCCTTATATAAGATATCTTAAAATTTTTTTAATTTACGCACAATTTTAATCCTCGATTTCTCCTTCTACATAATCTTCGCAGCTGCTGATGTGCGGAGCCGACGAGTACAGCGTGCAGGAGCTGCGCGCCTGCCACGAGGCGAACGGCTACTCGCCCCAGTTCAGGCGCACCCTCGACTGGTTCTGGCAGGCCCTGGAGGGCTTCTCGCGCGACGAGATGGCCCGCCTGGTGCAGTTCGTCACTGGCAGCTCGCGGCTGCCCGTCGACGGCTTCAAGAGCCTCGATCCGACCTTCACGATCGTCGACGTCGGCGGATACGGACATCTGCCCACCGCCCACACGTGGTGAGTTTTTTTTTTTTTTGTTTTTCGTTTCTAAAATCGTTCAAATTTTCGATAACGAACTCGACGATTTATTATTGTTTGTTTTTTTATTTTTTTCGTAGCGTTAATCAACTGTGCCTACCCGAGTACAGCTGCTACGAAGATTTAGAGAGGGCGCTGCTCTACGCCCTGAAGGAGGGCGCCGAAGGTTTTGGATTGGTTTAAGTGTTCTCCAATTGTCCTACAGAACCAAATAATCTCTAGTCAAAGCAAACGAAAAAAAGATAAATTACAACTGACAGCAGTCAGTTGTATGAAAATTTTATGGATAAAAGAATCTGAGTAAGATGTCTTTTTCCTATTTTTTTTTATGGATATTGTATGATTAATCAATTTTTATTGTAAATGCGAGTGATCGTGTGATTTAGTAAAAAAAAAAATGTCGATAATATTACTTAAGGTACCTGGTGTAATATTTCTAACTATAAGCTTAGGTATTTATTTTAATTTTGGACTCGGTATGTAGTACATTTGCTTCTTTCTTTTTCATTTTTTTTTGCGTTCAATTTTTTAATCAATTATTAACAATATAGCTTAATTCTAAGCTGTACATTAAACCTTAAGCTCGGTGAGTGAGACAGGAACTTGAAGTCTCCGGGGACTGAGTCGATGTTACCGGATGCTCAGATGGTGGTTGTGTTGTCACGAAATTCGTCCTGCGACCGACGATCGTTCTTCTGTATATGTCGTGATGCGAGTGTTTGTCAATCGACACACGGTACTCGTGATGTTATAGTTATATGTAGGCACTATAGTTAATTTGAATGCTCTTCGATTTATAATTGCGATTTATAAATTGGAATAATGTTTTATGTAAGTGTCATTTCGATCCGCAAGTATACCAAACATGAGTGTTTTTAGGGAGTAATGCGAGTATACGTTTGAGCGTTTGCGATTAATTGCACGATATCCGTAAAAATTGAAATTCAAGGGTGATTTAGGAGAATTTCATTCAGAAAATTGTGACAAAAATGGGGAGATGAATCCTTTCCTGAAAAAATTCGAAGTAATTTCTATTCGATAAGGTACAATAATGGTTTGGTATGTTCGTTGAGCGCAATGACACATAATAAATTCTCCCAGATATGGGCCGTTTATTAGATGCAACGGGTTCAAAGATACTGAAATTTATGGAAATTAATTGTTAAAAAAGTATAACCAGTTTTTGGTATATACGCCTATATGTCTGCAACGTCTCGAGTGGACAAAACTCATATCACGACGGATATACTCAGGACGAGTTTCGTCACTGCACAATCACAATCGGGGCATCCGGTGACATCCGTTCAGTCGCCGGGGGAGTTCAAGTTCCTGGTTCGCTCACCGAAGTAAGCGCACACATATAAATATGCAGACTCAATAATAATTGTATTTTATAGACAAGCTAAAATGTAAATATAGCCGAGAGGCCACCTTTTGCGTGTTCAAATTATAAGCGATTTTACGTCTGTCTTTTTGTTTCATTAAGATAGATGCGAACGAAACCGATCTCATGTAAGAAAAAGTAATGTAAAACTTTTTTTACTCTTAAAATTATACATATCAATGTTGTGTTTTGTAAGAGATATAAGAATAAAGACAAAAAATATATACGTAAAATTCATTATGTAAACCTCTTTAAAATTATCCAATCCTTTCTTTATTTTTTACGTCTCGATTGAGACTTGTGACATGGTAATATAGGGTGAATTTGCCCATTACCGGTCACTTACCGATTTTAATCCAAATATACATGATTAATTTCGAAGGAATAAAATAGTTTTTCTGTTTTCAATTGCATAAATATTATACTTTCCAAGAAAATTCATAGTACTCTTGGACATTATTAAATCTGTGTCGTCGCTCAATTTATAATTCTGATCTTGTCTATAAAAATGGACTATGCGATAAAATCGTCCTCTTAGTTTTAGACTGCCTGCAATGATTCAAAATAATTTTTATTCAAAAATTTTTTATTCAAGTCGAAGATCGACACGTATGTCCATTTATTATGCTTCCAGGCCTCCAACATAAAAATTTAACCGAGTTTCAATTGCAGGATCATTGACAGCTCGTTGAGGAGGTTGAAGAATGATCCATTAGTATTTTTTAATAGAAATATCACCAGTATTTTTTGGCCAAGTGTAGGTGGTCATTCGAAAGGTCATTTTTTCCCCCATCAAAGGGTATTTTTAGAAAAATTTTCAAACGTCAGTCGTAATCTCTGTAAATAAGCAAAGAAAATTTTTTTTCTCAAGTTTCCGAAATATGACACATTCAGCCTCCATAAAACGTCAGTCGAAAAATTGCATAGAATTTTACAAGTAAACCATTCGAGAAACACCACCTACCGTACGAAATTCGAAATATCGTCGTCTCCCTCACATATTCTCTGTCGCACCGACGCGCTCGGCGACGGCGGCGGCGGCAAAACGACTCGTGCTGCCACGCGTGCTGCGACTTACACACATACTCACTTGTGTTGGTGTATTTACAGTTTACGCACGCATTTTTTTTTATATACTCTCCTTCGCGTGTGCTGCTGCTGCTGCCGCCCGAATGACGCTCAGTTAGCGTTCAGCCATCGCCGGAGTAGCATCGGATCCAAAGAGCTTGGAAAATGGCGAACGTACGTGACAGCGACACATCGCTCTGGCTGCACAACAAGCTCGGCACGAGCAACGACAGCTGGACCGGCAGCTCGATCTGCTCCCAGCTCAACGTCGAGGTGCTCAGGAACATCAAGGACTGCTTCTCGGATCTTCAGCTGCAGGTCAAGCTGAAGCTGCTGCTGTCCTTCTTTCACATACACAGGAGCAAGCTCGAAGAGGTGAATATCTCCGCGCTGTGCTGCTGCAGTTAGCAGGCCCCCAGTGTTGTTGTTGTTGCTTTTGTTTTCGTTTGAAAATGCATGTACGCGAGACGACGCGCGTAGTGCCGTTACGCGAGTGTATGGTCATTATGGTTTTTTGGTTGTTCGAGTGCCTCGGGCTTTTTTGCATCGAACCCATTTTACGCGTATCCTCGGCATCGATGTTTGTAATTAAATCTTCGGGAACGCGCGTGCCTGCCGAGCGTTGTACGCTTTTGAGGTTAAACATCGGCGGATAAAATAACAGAATTTGCATTTGCCGTGCGGCGGTGGTTTTTTGACTTGATCACGTGTTTTAATCGAGTTGCATTGTGCAAAAAAGACAGCCCAATCCTTACTTTGTGTTTTTACGCGCGGTGCTTTTTTTTAACATCTCCTTAACCGTTTGTTCAGTTACCCTGTGCAGTTGCTTCGATTACTTATTTATTTACCTTTTTGAATGTTCTAGTGGAAGCTTGAATTGGAAGAAATTATTGAGATAGCTGCCATCGACACAGATCTATGGGTTTCTATGCTAGCAGAACTCATGAAAACTTTTCCATCCACTGGTTCTTTAAATACAGATCCTTCAGATTTTGACGATCATCGGCCGCTCTTCGGCGATCTCATTACGGACTTGAGAAAATTATTGAAAAAGCAAAATGATCCTAATATGCTTCCGCTGGAGTGTCACTTCTTGAACCATAAGGCTCTCACATCGGTCGTAGGTAATTTGCCTCCGCCCACCAAACACTTTGCTCTAAAGCACAGCAAGAAGTCAAAAAGTGCAGCGCTAAGAGACGAGCTTAGACAAAAGAGCTTTGATGCTCAGAGTAATTTAAAGAAAAATGTTACACCGACTGTACCTGTCAGGAGTAGAGGCATACCCAGAAAAATGACAGATACAAGTAAGATGATTCATTAATTTCTTTAGCCATACTTTCGACAAAATAATTTATTTTTTTTTTCATAAAATTTTACAGCTCCTCTAAGAGGTATACCTTCACGTCTTCCTGGCAGTGCTTTTCGTTCTCCAGCACTTGGTACATCACCAGTACCACAGAGAACACCAGTTGGTGGTCGAATTCGAAAAGATGGCGGTATTAAACTATTAGATATTAGTGAGCAACCATTGGGATACGTTCAAGCTAAGCGTCGTAAGCGCCAACAAGAGCAAGAAGAGCAACAGAAGAAAGCTGAGGAAGCGAAAGCTGCTGCAGCCGCTGCTCAAGCAACTGCTCAAGCCGCAGCAGCTGCAGCTCCTGCAGAAGAAACCGCCACACCAGAATATGCTCAAGGTTTGGCACCTATCGCTGCCCCCGCCACACCTGCTGCACCAGCAGTATCAACGCCCACAACTCCTACCACTCCACATTTACAGCCTTACAGTACACCCAAAACTACTGCAAGTGTACCTGTGGCTGTTGTTGCACCAAATCCCAAACCTGGTAAGTTGTCTTTCTTTTAATCTTGAGCAAATGAAATTTTTGTGGTTGAAAAATTCAAGTATTTAGAATTTCATGCTCAAAATTTCTGTCTTGGCTGTGGACTTGCTCTGAATTACTTTCAATTTTTATTTCAAATTAATTTGATCTATTTTCAGTTGTTGCATCTACAGCACCACCTACTACTGTGGTTAACTCAACTACAACTGTTGTTACTCCTGTAGAATCTAACCCAGTTACTGTACAAACTGTCAAGCCAACAGTACAAATTGTTAGACCACCTGCAACAGTTACACAAATACCTATATCATCAAGTGTACAACAGCCTGCAGCAGCTGCCAATGCAAGGAAAGGGTTATCACTTACTGTAAGTGATTCATTTAAATATGTTAATGAATTAAATATGAATAATGGGAATATTCATTCAAAACATCCTTCTATTTTTCAGAGAGACCAAATGTTGGAAGCTCAAGAAATGTTCAGAACTGCGAACAAAGTTACCAGACCAGAAAAAGCTCTTATTTTGGGATTCATGGCTGGATCAAGGGGTATGTTTTTACATAACTTTTCACCAGAGTTTAAAAGTTCTCCTAACAATAGTTTTCAATGTATTGTTTACTTTTCTACAGACAACCCTTGTCCAAAGTTGGGAAATATTGTAACAGTGATGTTATCAGAAAATTTAGAAGAAGTGCCCCAGCCAGATGGTACGTCAGTTTTAGTGCAAGTTGAAACACATTTCCAAATGAATTATACTAATGGTGAATGGAAAAGAATTAAAAAAAATAGACGTATTGTACAAGATGAATCTGCAGTGGTAACAAATCAAGCAACAAATGCTGCAAAATAGGTTCTTCATATTTAAGGTTTGTTTCAATCGATTTTAGCGTTCTATATAAGTTTTGTAAACAGACTTATAATGACTTGTATAGAATTCAAAAAAATTTGTATATTCTATTCATAGATTTTATACCTTTGTAATAGTTTTTGTATAAAAGTGTATCATTTTTCATATACACTATCTTGTACATATTAAAGTTAAATATCGAACGATTGACCGTTAATTTAACGTAATTATAGAGAGTGTGATATATTTCGGAGATTTTGCAAAGGAATTATTGTTTTTTTTATCCGGTACAGATCATGTGTAATTACTGTGTAATCATGTAAAAATGTAAATTAAAACATGAAACATTCAATCGATACTACATCACGTTAAAATTCATTATTATACTTCGTAGTCATAAAATACAATGTTTAAAATTTTTTGTAAATTATTATCTTTTTTGCAAGAGTTATGTATTTTTTCTATAGATTGTCTCTTACTGTGAAAAATTAAATTCTTATATGTAAAAAAGAAAAAAAAGAAACGATAAAATCAAGTATACATAGGACATATTGATGCTTACTTGTATCATATAAGCTTAAGACAGATATAGATTGAAATGAAATATTTATATGAAACATGAAAAAAAAATTATGTTTTTTAAACTTATAAGACCGAAACATGAGTTGCTTTGTTATTCATAGAGAAATATTGAAATAAATATCGAAAATCATGTCTCTAATTGATGTTTTAATTATTTTCACCTGTATGAATGTAATTTTAAATAAATTTTCATTGAAAATATTTAAAAAAAAAGTAGTTAATACTTAACTTTATAAATATTCCAAGTTCCAGTAACTCAACTCGTTATTATTTATAGGCTTGTGAAATGTGGACTGATTCAAATGCCTCTGACAACTCGAGATAATCAGAATTCTGCTCGGTGGTATTTTCGATACCAGATAGGTAGTCGTAGTATATAAATACGGAGCCAACGCGTGTGCGAATTCATATACGTTTGTGTATTGCACGATTTGCGAATCGAAAGTGTATTACATAACCTTGCATGAATTTACATTGCGGCACTTTATTCGAGTCGTGTATAACTAGATAGGACAGCAACAATTGATCGGTTCTTCTTAATCAACATTTTTATTCAACAATGTCTCGCTTTTTGATCAACCTTTTGCCACAGGCCAAGAAGTTGGTGAGTATGCACTGATTCGGAGTAGTTTTGAAAGATGTTTTTAAAAATTGCGGGTGTGTGTTATGAACTTGGAGTTATTAAATTGTGGATGTTTGTTTTTATAGGCAACTGTAACTTCGTCGAATCTTATCCAAGCCAGTCGACTTCGATCGAACGATAACGTGCGATTTTTCTCGGCAAGCTCGAGATTGCTGTCCAAGCTAGAAATATCAAAGCCTGCACCTGATTTCTCAGGCACCGCTGTTGTCAAAGGTGATTTCAAAGAAATCAAGCTGAGTGATTATAAGGGAAAATATGTTGTTCTGTTCTTCTATCCCTTAGATTTGTAAGTTTTTACCAAAAAGTTTAATAAGATGTTGAACAATTTTGATTGCGTTTATAATATATTAATTCTTTTACAGTACATTTGTATGTCCCACTGAATTGCTGGCGTTCAGTGAAAAAGTTAAAGAATTTGAGGCCTTAAACACACAGGTGGTTGGAGTTTCGATTGATTCTCACTTCAGTCATTTAGCTTGGCTTAATACGCCAAGAAAAGAAGGTGGACTAGGTGGTGATCTAGGCTATCCTTTGCTCAGTGATTTAAACAAGAAAATTGCCTCAGATTACAATGTCCTCATTGAAGATCAAGGTATTGCGTTAAGAGGCCTTTTCATTATTGATAAGGAAGGACTTTTGCGTCAGATCACAGTTAATGATTTACCTGTTGGAAGAAGCGTTGAAGAAGTTTTAAGATTAATCAAAGCCTTTCAATTTGTTGAGAAGCATGGTGAAGTATGCCCTGCAAATTGGCAACCAGAATCTAAAACTATTAAGCCAAATCCCAAAGATAGCAAGAAATATTTTGAATCAGTCAACTAAGTGCTATGTATATTAGTTTTATTTCAAAACATTTTTTATGTTATTTTTTACATTAGAATCTACAGTTTTGTTAAATGTCATTATTTTTTTTTATAAAATTCTTTGCATAGTTGGGTAATGTAAAAAGCTTTTCTAATGTAGTGATAGTTTACTCACTTTTGCAGACAAACAAATGTAATCTACTTGTAATTTTTTTTTAAAAATTCAATGAATAAAAGAATATAAATTTTATAAAATCGTTTTCCAGAAAATGTCTTATTTTTACCGGATTTTCATAAATATCACGTGATTACATGCTTCAAATGATTTTTTATGATTTATTAGAAATAATACGTTTATTTTCATCGACGTTGTATACAAGAATATAAAACATAGTATTTTCACATTGTTTCACAGGTACATAGTTACTTTTTATTTCTAGTCAATTTTAAAAATTGTGCTGCGAATTGTACTTATTAAACAAAGTTTTCAATAGAAAAAAAAATTAAAATAACATTGTGATGAAAGACTGAACGCTAAAATCAACAAATTCTGTAGCTTGACATTTATAACGAGATTTTTTCATTATTTCTTCTTAAAAACGGAGCTTTTTTTATTATGAACTTTTGCTCCATACTTTCTAACAAATTCTTTAACATCAAACTTTCTACAACATCCTTGATAGTTCATGTAACGAATTTTTCCAAATACAGGCCTCTCTCTCCAACCTTGATCATGTATTCCACAAATGGACCACATGCAACCTAAATGATAAAATTCATTTGAATGCATTTTTTACTATATTTTACTATATTTTTCTATTTATTTTCCATTCAACTTACCAACATAACCATTGGGATCTCTTCCATCCATACTGTATTTATCATTCAAATAAATTGACCACTCGAGTGCTTCTTGAGGTGTTTTGGTCCATTCTAGAATTTTTTTGGCCCAGTACATACGTAAAAAGCCATGAATTTTACCTTCTTTTACCAATTGTATTTCTGCAGCATTCCACAGATCATCATGTGTTAAACCTTGTTCCAATTCTTCCTTTGTGTAAATATATTCTCTCTTGTCTTTACTGTTAAAGAATATAGAAAAATAAATTAAAATCTAAAAATTGAGTGAGCTGTAATATTTAAACTTGAATCTTACCTATGCTCTTCCAAGGTTTTTTTAGCCCAGTCGTATGCTCCTTCTATGTTATCATAATTTTCATTATAGTAACAAAAGTTATCACTAAGTTCTCTGCGAACAATAGCTTCCTCACAAAAAGCTTCAACAGATTCTTTGTACTTTGATTTTAGCTTCACAGCTTCTAAAATACTTCTTTGAACAGAAATTTGTCCAAAATGAAACCATGGGGATAAATTACTAAGAGCATCAGCTGTTGGATCATTGCGTTTGCTGTGATATAACTTTAACCGTTTGTTCAAAAAATTTTCAAGCTCAGCCATGCCACCTCTGTGCCCTGCTTTAGCCCATGAAACTTTATCAACTGATCTATCAATAAGGACATGATCCAATGCTGTGTCCCACTCATTTTTATCAAGTTTTTGATCAGTGGTATATGGATGCCTTATCACAGGTGGAAATTCTGTTAAGAATTCTGGTAGTTTAGAGTTTATTTTATTTCTTATTGTGCGAGCAGCATACTCCAATTTATCCGATGTCACCCAGCAAGGAACAATGTTATGAGAATCAATCTATGAAAGAAAAAAATAATTTTTTATAGTAGTTCATCATTTATTAAGAAATATCAATGTAATTAATTCCATTTAATAATATATACCTGACACACAGGAACATCTTTTGGGATTCTTTTTTGTATTTCACTCAACCAAAACCTGGGCTTTCTCAAAGGGAAGAAGTCTACAACGAGACCTCCTATTTTATATTTTTTCACAATATCAACCACAACATCGTGTGGTTCACCCAGTAAAAGATGAAAATTGATGTTTAGTTCGAGACAATCTTTGTCCACCTCTTGCAACGACTCCAATAGGAACTTGTAATGCCTCAATGTAGCATCGAGAAATTTTGGTAAAATACAATAACATACGTGTAAAGGTAATTTATTCTTCAACGCTAACTTCTGAGCAAACAAAAAGGACCAGTTATCTGTAATGTCAATGATTATTTTTAGTTACAAGTTTAGATTAATAGTTTTAATCATAATATGCAAGTTATAAATTTACCTTGAACTCTGGGGTCTCTAAACATCCAATACAGAATTCCTTTGGACTTGGGAACTACTTCATCTGACTCAGTGAGCACTCTTACTCTTTTTTTGTTGAACTTAAATTCCAGAATATTGTTTGCCGTCTGAAATCAATGAATTAGTTATAATTGTCAAATTCCAAATGATACAAACAATCATGAATATTACCTCTTTTCTTTGTTCGGCAATTGTGCTCAAGAAATCGGAAGTTTTCAACCTTTTTGCAGGGGGATTCGACATCTTGCTACAGAAAAATTTTACATGGACGAGAAGAGAAAAACAGTTATATTTTCGTTGGGCTAAAATTTCGCAATATTATTCAACCGGCGAGATGCCGGTGTAGCTCGATTCTCCGGAGGTTGTGTACGGCAAAACAACGAGGCGAATTTCGAGCAGAACGCGGCAAGGCGAATTTTACACTTTATTTTGTGTCGAGGCGGGCATGCCATCCCCCACCCTCTACGGCGGACTCAATACGCGCCGGCCGTCTTACCGGCAGAATTTCGCGCGTAAAAATATGCGCGCATAAATTTCGCACGCGACTGTTGGTATTAATGGCAATCTCAAATCTGACGGTATTTTATTGATTGTGCAAAGTTTTTAATCCGCTATTGCGTCACCACGTATAGGATGGTCAGAAGGGTGCAATATTAATTAAAATGCGTATTCGCAAAGTTTATTGTAAATTATGTTCACTTTATTAATCTCGCGGCTCGCTATCGCTTACACTGTTCGCACGCGTTGACTCTAGGCTGGTCAAAGTTAATCTGTCAAGCGGCGACCAGCACGTCGCCGGCACACATGCGGAGCAGATCCCCGCACGGTGGGGGAAGACATACACGGCTGCTGCCGCGAGAAGGCCTAGGCAGGCTGCGCACACATACCACTGCACACATACATACACACAGGCGGAACACGTATGTCCGCCGAGCCCGAGCCGAGGTGTCGCGTCTACACGCTGATGAGGCGCGCGCACATACACATACACACACACGCAAGCACGAGAGTCTGTAGTCGCTACAGATACTCCCCCCCAAAAGGTTGGTTATACCTTTTGATAACCGAATACATGTGTGGGTGGAGTTGTTATGCTTTCTTTTGTGCATCTGTGTGTCGCAAACAATATTTTATGCATCTTTGTTAGTTAAAGTTTTTGTAGCTGTGTAAAGCGAGAACGAGTGCGAACATCAGTCAATATGCAATAATTATATATGTTTTACAAAAATTTTGTAATCTGATAACATTAAAAAAAATAAAATTTAACATTTTTAAACAAAAATAATGTTCGTTGAAATATTCGTATTTAGTACAAAAATTAACGCAGTATCTTAATAAATAGTGCTAAAAGATCACTCCACCACACTCAGGCGGCACACGTCCGACGCAGCGGACACCGCCGGCCGACGCGAGGCCCATAAAAGCGTCCGGACGCCAATCTCGAGTCACACTCTCAATACATTTGCATAACCACTTAAAATTAGAGAGAACAAAAAAACTACGCATTGCGCTCGATACTACCGCCGGTAAACCTCGCGACCGCCGAAAGACGACGCCGACGCAAACAACACACCACCCGCGCTGAGTGTACAGACATCTTACCATTGACCCAGGATGAATCTACACTTGTGCAGTTCGACGAACGAACCACAAAACGTCTATTTATAAAACTTATAAATCGTTGTTAACAATGATCGATCACAGATTCGCTTTTTCTAACAAAAACACACATTATCATCGGGCGCGCCGCTTATCCTAGCTCTCAACAACATTGAAACACATGGCAAGGGCACTGGCATCTTCTCCCGATAAAACATGAAAAAGAGTTCAAAATTTCCCCTCGAACACACGGAAAAATATGTCGAAGTCAAAACTATTCAAACTTTATTCGTTTTAAAATATTCGGTACGAACTTAACACGTCGTACAGACTTAAACATTGCAGATGCAACTGTTGGAGGCGGAAACAACACAACAGGCACATTGTCAGAACTTACTTACGTCCTGTCGAGTCGGTGCAAGCACCGATGAAGGCAAAGGCACCTCCCCTCCCGACGACGTTACATCGACTTCTAGGCGCTAAGCGCAAACAGCGAATTGCGAGGGCCGAAACACATAACGTTAAATTCGAATAAATCGAAGATTAAAATAACAGAAGTTTTCGGCTTGTCACATTCGATAACTAAAATTCAGTTTAGGCTGCTGACAACTTTTCAGGACATAAACGCCTCGCCCTTTGCGCTAAAGGCGGGCCGTAAGTGTCAATATAATGACAAACACCGGGGTCGGTGGTTTGTGTAGACTTCTTGTCTTTGAAAAGCGATGGAAATTCTTCCAATATTCGCGTCACAGGCAATTTAGCATCCAAATGTGCTATGCCTGCACTGTCTCCCTGACTCAAGATACCACGGCACAAGATTGAATTGTCAGAATGTCGAAGACAACGACTCTTCAAATCTATCAGAAGGGCAAACTTAACTATGAAGTCGGCACCCGTAATGGCGTACGGCACAACGGCCACTATAAACAACCATTCAAAATCTTGCCGTGATCGAGATAAATTTTCAACGCTCAATTACCATAAGCGTTGATAGGAGACAAATTTGCTGCAAAGAGCTAAGATAAAGCAGGCAGCTTTTCGTGCTAGGTTTTTGGCCAACAAGATACCTCAGCACCAGAGTCCGTTAATAATTTTGTGACGACTCTTCATCTTTGACAAATAAACGCAGCGTCTTTCTAATCTCTGATGACGAAATTGATTCGGTCAAATGAGAAACTTCAGACCGTTGCGGAGAACTAAGCTCATTTGTCTTTTTATGACTAATTATTGTCAAAATTACATGGGGGCTTGCAAGATCTAGCATAGGTGTTATCACCATACTTAGCATGCGCCTCACAAATCACAACATCGTCTGACTTACTCGTCGAACTGCGACAACGGTCATTTTTTCGCTTGTTGCGTTTATTTGCATAAGATTTACGATCTCGTGACTTACGCGATTGAGAATAACCTTGAGAATCCAACCTAGATTCGAGTCTTTGTATGTGCTTTAAAAGGATTTCGGTTTTATCGTCAGCAACCCCGACGGCATTGACTGCATCAACAGTGATTCTATTTGAACTTTTTAATATTGTGAAAACCTCCTCCGCTCGTCTGAGCAACGATGATTCATTGGCGAGGACAGCAGGTGTACCAAGCTGCACACGAATGTCTATAGGAAGTCTTTGTTTCCAAACTTTAAGAATGGATTCACGCGGAAAAGTATCACCACCTGCAGCCAACAAAACGTTGAAAAACTCAGCAGGAGAATGCGAACCCATTGAAGAAAGAGCCGCAAAACGATTTAGACGTTCTTCCTCATTTTCCGAAAATTTGTTCAAAAGAATCTGTTTAATTGACGTGTACCTGTTGGAAGTAGGCAATGTCCTAATAGTATCTGAAACTTCGCGCAAAATATCGGCACCAAGACTGCTCACAACAGTAAAATATTTGTCCTCGTCCGAAGAAATACCACGACTCGAAAAGTAATGCTCTACTACGTCAAACCACTGCTCAGGCACAGTGCGCCAAAACTGAGGCAATCGCGACTCCGTCGAGACATATCTCACGCCGGCAGCAGAACCTGCCGCGCCAGGCGATGAACGAAGCCGGCGCTCTGCGTGGATATCTAAATCTCGCTGTGTGGGTACTGATGAACTCGTATTACTAATCGCAGGAATAGGCGCATTATTATTATTATTAAGAGAGAGCGACGCAACATTAACATTTGAATTATTATTATTACCTAAGGGGTCAGAGGCCTGATTGCGTCCGCTTTGAGACTCAATGAACTCACGAACTAATGAAAGAATTTCTCTTTTAAATGAATCAAATTCCTCGCGAAACTGCTCAGCAGCAGCACCCTGCACAACAGCATTATCGTCACGACGCTCGACAACCGAAGGGTCCTCGACGGAACGCTCGCTTTCCAATGGGTCCTCGACACGACTAGAATTCATGACTGACATGTCAACCGAGTCCGACGGCAAAACTCTACCACTTCGCAAACGAAAGCCGGCGCCGGGAGGTGTACGCTGTAATTCACGACTGGGACGGAGAGAGCTGGGAAAACTATTCGAGTTATTAAGAGCTTCGGGAGATAGACCACCGAAGTGTGCCATGAATTGCCAATGCGTGATGTGTTGAGATCACATACAAAATTCTCTCTAAAAAATTCACGTGCGAGGCTCACAATCAAACTTAAAATTAATTCGAGACTAAAAACTTCAACGAGCAAACAATTCGAAAATCAAAATCAAATCGTTAAAATTTAATAAAAAAAAATTAAATTAATCTTAAGTTCAAAAGAACTATAAGAAAACTGCGATCGCAATAAGCATGCGAGTGATAACGGTCGGCTTCAACAGGGATATACCCTCAACAAGCAAACAATTGATCACTACACAGCGCGAACTACGACGACAAATTTCAATTTTGCTCGACGAAATTCAAAGTCTCGACAACTTATAACTAGTCAAAATATTATATAAATTTACACAATGTAAAAATAAATTCGATCACTTGAGTCGATCAATACGAAAACGGTTCGCTTGTTTACAATTACAGTTAGGCTCGACTACTAAAATTATCCCGCCGAAAATTATCGAAAATTCCCAACGGTCACGACGATCACACAAGTCGACCGAAAATCAAAACGATTCAACCGCAAAAATATTTGCAAACGGATATCCTAATGTTCACAAAATCATTACAATCAATCAAAATCAATTAAATTCGAAAATCGAATCCGAAAAGCAATCGATCATTAACGCGAAAATCCACACGAGAAAATTAAAGTCGAGCCAACAAGAATATAACGCGAAAAAAAAAAAAATTCTCGACCGAAAAAAATCGACAAATTCAAATTGTTACTTTTAATCTTCACGACGAAACCACGAAGTCGAGGCTGGAAGACGCTGGACGGAAGTCACGTGCTGCTGATTCTCGTCGTTGGTTGGCTGGAGCCTGGAATCGCTCGCTGTTGATTGGCCGTTGCACGAGAGCGCCGGAAAAGGACAGCAACCCACTTCCTTCTTCTTGGCAGGCAACGAGTCTCGTCAGAGAACAATGAATTTGAAGATGGCGGCTTCTTAATTACCGCGCGCCAAAACTGCGTAACGATGATGGCCGTTTCGGCATGAAAGCAAGTCGAGAACCGCAACGAACTCTTGTGATCGTAAAAAATTGGAGCGATGAAATCTCGCAATGAATGAATGTGAACGACAAAGCACGTCGCACAACACGAGAAAAATGGCGGATAAATTTCACGCACAAATTTGCAAAAAGAACGAGAGACACTTGTCGGCAGTACACGTGCTCCGAAATGGCGGAAAATCTCACGCACGAGTTTGCAGAAAGAACGAGAGACACTTGTTGTAACGCACAAGTGCTCCGAAAAATGGCGAGCGAACACTGAACTTGTGTGTAGCGATAGCGGCACTGGCGTTTACGCGCCGAAATTTTATCGAGATGGTCGGACTTTAATAGAAAGCCGGTGAGACTCGAAACACGAGCGCGCTGATTTTTCACTGCAGCGAACAAACAATAACTCGAGAGAAAATGTCGAGCAACACTGTAACTAGCCGCTGACAATTTTTCACTCACGTAGACAGGTCACCAAATATTGCGTCACCACGTATAGGATGGTCAGAAGGGTGCAATATTAATTAAAATGCGTATTCGCAAAGTTTATTGTAAATTATGTTCACTTTATTAATCTCGCGGC